TTGGAGTAACCCTTGAAAAAACTCCGCGAGCGCTCTGTCTTAACAGGTGTAAAGGGTCCCTTCCTCGAGTTCACGTGTTGTGAAGCTGCAGAGTAGTACTGAGCGCTCTCTCCAGAAGAGAGTTGGTACGGATCGACAGACGAAGAACTTGGAGTTGATAGTGACTTTGGCTCGGTGGCTAAACTTCTAGCACTGTAATTAGATTTAACGCTACAACAAGAATATTGAAGGTGACAAAGGCAGTTCTTCCTCTTTGAATAGAACCTTAGTTTCTCATTATCAATGGGCTGCTTGGAAGCTTTACTCAAGTTCTAGTAGAGCTCCTCTGTACACTGATACAACCAGTTCGAATTAGCTGATTGATTCCTTTCCCTATCAAAAACATCTGCGCCCCTCATTTGCTTCAACGAATTCCTCTGCAAGGAAATGGAAAGGCGCAATTTTTAAAATCAAGTGCTGAAACGGAGATAACCTTCCAGGCAATAGAACGAAGTGCAGCCTCATACTTCTCAGGAGTTGCAGGGCCCTGGAACTGCAACAAAACATGAAACTGGAAGCAGGAGAACTAATATAAATTGGAAAATGGGTCGAAAGAGCTTATTTTAGTTACAGGATTAGAGTGAGAGTTCTTGCTCGAGCTGCTCGTCTTAGAGTGAAGTGCTCTGCAGGCGCAAGCTTTGGCCTGCACTATGAGCAACGCGTTCATGCATCGAAAAGTCTCTGCCGCCAGCTTCCTTACAATTTTTCCCCTTACCAAAGCCAGAAGCTTCACTAATCCTTTCATCGCCCTCAGGGCTCTCCTTGCCTTCAAGATAGTACCCAAAAGAATAAATCATCGGAGAAAGGCAACACATCTTAATTTCAATTGGTTTTCAATCATAGCGCCAAATTCACAGAACTTAATTCTCGTTGAGTGATGCAGATATGAGCCAAACAATTCTTATGCTTACAGCAATTAATTCCCGTTCTTTCGTGCAACTTTTCAACCTACTTTATCCAAAGCAATAGTTGAGTTAAATGAGTCATAACCCATAATATTAATTTCTAACTGTATTAACTCACTGTTGCAATAGTTGAAACAACTAAAACTTTGGGTGCGTTTGGGACGTCTCCGGCTGTTGGTAAAGTAGGTTGTAAAATTGTTATACATAAAGTTGCTTCTTGAAGTTGCTTTATAGAATCATTATATTTTGTTTGGATAGTATAACTGTAGAG